GGTCTCCTGCATCAAAGGCGGTGTTCTAACCACTACGCTATCCAGCCGCTCAACATGATACATATATATATATATATATATATATGTATGTGTGTGTGTGTGTATCCTACTTTTTAACCTTCCTATTTCATTTACTATTTACCCTTTAGAATAAATATTGTTTGAAATCTACCATTTCCTCTCTTGTTTTGTGAGTATGCGTGTGGGTGAGGGTGCATGAGTGAAACTTAGCTTTCATTGCAGTTGTTTGTGATTTAAACTCGGTCTCGTTTTCAAATTCCTGAAAAGTAAACAAGTGGAGCCAAAAAGGAAAGCTGTATTGAATGGTTTCAAAAGCACATTCACATACTTTAAAAGTGGTACCTGAGCAATGAGGCCTAGTTCCACTCCAGAGTCCATTTAATTGGCATGTCCGGGATGACTGGCCTATTAGTGATCTCCTTCCTGTGCAAGAATAATGAACAATGGATCCAAATGTATATTTCTCTCCAGAAAGGATTGCATTTGGAGGAATGCCAGGATGACCGCAGTCAATCACTACGATACATAAATATTGGAGATAAAAATTATGTTATAATCAGCACACTAAATTCTTCAATATGCCAGCACACCATCAATATGTTTTGCTAGTGATAATATTATTATCATGATGACCTTATACCCATGTTTTTCATATAATTGATGGAACAAATTGTTCTTCATTATTACCAATGTGTTCATAGCATATAGCTGCTCCCTCTCTCTCTCTCTCTCTCTCTCTCTCTGTATGCATGTATATTCATTCATTCATTCATTCATTCATTCATTCATTCATTCATTCATTCATTCATATATATTACAAGCCTTTTAAAAATATAAGGCATAGAAGCATAGAGAACTGTAGACTTATCTGAATTTATGGAGAGTATCAGAATAGATTCTTGTTACAGAGTATCCCCTTTTGAGATTATGTTTTCATTATGTACAAAACATTAGACTTTGTTATGAGGCTTGGACATTAAAAGATAATCTATTCTGACTCTGCAAAAGAGCAGTTAGATGGAAAGGTCACTTTGAATAAGTCCTAGGAGCCAACACATGTGCTCTGAGGAAAATATTATCAATGTGTAAATTCAGTTTTAAAAAGAACTGCTATAATATTCCTTTTGAATGAGGCTAGGAATTACAAATATCCATCCAAGGATCAATATCAATATTATTATGGCATGTAGACAGCAAATATACCTCCAGGAAAAGAGCTGACTGATCAGCCTGATCACCTCTTCTCATAAGGTGATAATCTAGGGAAGAATTGATGTCCTAGCTAAGGTCAATTATTTTGGAATAATTCATTTTCCACTTCCCTGACAAAGTTATCATCCTCTTCATTTTGCAGAGCTAAAATCAGTCACCCCTCTCAAATCTGCTCTGCTGCCACATCATGGTAGAGGGGTGTTTCTGGGAAGGATGAGCAAAGAGTGCTGGTAACCCTCAGCAAGGTCACCCAAGACGTGAAGCACATTCCAGCTGCTCCGCTAAAGCAAGCAGTCAACAACAATATAAGAAGATGCTAGAAATAGAGTCATTTTAGCGACCATGGGAAAGACGTCATTTAATACTTCACAGGAGAAGACAATGGTAAACCACTCCTGCATTTTACCAGGAAAACCACATGAAGAGGCAATATAAAGTGACTGATGATATAGTGCCAGATGATGGGCTCCTCAGGTCAGATGGTGTTCAGCATGCTACTGATGAAGAGCTGAGGATCTTTTGGAGTACTAATGGTGTCTATGATGGAGATAGATTAAAGACTTTGGGTCGTCTAGCTACTGATACTGCCAGGTAGGAAAAGAAAAACTGAAGTAGCAAACATCGGATTATCTTGGGAACGTGGGACATCCTTTCTAGTAGATGGGTGGCTATATAAGTTTGTTTCATAGAAAAATAAAATAAATAAATGAATATAGGAAAAGTCAGCACATTAAAAGATGACTACACATTGACATCTTAGGCATCAGAGAAATTTAAATGGACTGAACCAGGATAATTTTGGTCAGAAGATCATACTATTTACCACTTAGGACCTGAAAAACAAACAAGGAATGGTTCTGCTTTCATAGTCAGTAAGGGCATAGCAAAGACATGTTTCGGTACAATGCAGTCAGTGACTGAATAATATCAGTTGGACTTTGTGAACAGCTTTTTAATATAAGACTTGTCCAAGTTTATGTGCCAGCCACTGATGCAGAAGAAGAGAATACTGATGAATTTTATGGTTAAGTTCAATTTGAATTTGATAGAACATGCAAGCAAGATGTGCTACTTATGGTTGGAGACTGGAATGCCAAAGTTGGAAAGAGTAAGGAGGAGAATGTAATGGGCTAGGAAACCAAAGTGAAGCAGGAGATCAACTTACTAGTTTCTGCCAATCCAGTGATTTCTTCATCGCTAACACAGTTTTCAAACAACTGTAATGATACCTATATACATGTACATTAGCAGATGGAGTACACAGAAATCAGACTGATTATATTATTGGTATGAGAAGGTGAAGGACTTCAGATATAACAGCAAGGATGTGTCCTGCACTGACTGAGGAACAGATCATGAATATCAATTTTTAATACTGTCAGGTGGTTTTAATTATTGACCCTTTACTTTTGATTGTACCATGGATATTTTATTGAAAATTATTGAGTGTAGCCTGTTAAAAGTCAATTGACTGTGATGAACTAAAATTGAACAAATAAATAAATAGTCACAATGCTTCCATATTCAGCATTTTAGACACTGACTTACCTTAGTCAGTTTTTCTAACAATTGCAATTGGATAACAGCTGTGAAGCTCTTTGAATGTTTGAAAGAATGATATAAGCATTTAGTATTGCTATTATTGCAAATTTTAGTTATAAGTAGCAATATTTTAAAATACTTACTAATGCATTCTGGCAAAGGTTTATCCCAGTGTCCATTAGGCTGGCAGACTAAAATTGAAGAGCCAAATAAAAAATATCCAGGATTGCAGTCATAAAAAACAACTGTACCGTAGGTGAAATTTCCATGTTCTATTTTGCTTTCTCTTATAGAGTTTCCAGGGATTCCTGGATCTGAACAGTTGACCACTGAACAACAAAAACAATAAGAGAAATGGACATCACCTGTATATTTCACATTAGAAAAGAATATCAAGCCTTGCACAATTAGCAAGAATTAATGCTAGTATATTGAAAAGAAATCATTATGTATTTCTTTCTGCATTTTTTTTTTTGGCTTACTGAAAAACTTGAAATATGTTTTTAACTGTATGCATTTATTCTATATTGAGTGGGAATTATATGTGAGTTAAACTTAATGTGACTGTATCTGTCACTGTAACCTTATAGAATTAATGCTGAACCACAGCAGTATTTTTCAATATCCACATTACTTTTTAAAAAATGAGTCATTCTTATTTCCCAGTCACATCCATTATGTAAAAAATAATATTAATGGAAGTGTACTACTTTCCTGTAAGTAACCCTTTGTGGACACTTTGGATCTTGCTTCCAAGTAACCATAGGATTACACAGTCTTCATATATAATATTTAATAAGGAACACTTTGGACAAACTTCTTGAAGGTAATAAAAGAGATCGCAGCACCTGTAGAATGCTGCCCTGAGTGAAAATTATGTTTCGTAGTCATTATCTGTCTTGTCAAAAATAATTAGGCAACTTATTGAGCATACCTAGTGTTCTTTCTCTGCACAGTAGTAGATCTAGCTAGCTCTGTCCAGACACATTCAATGATTTCTGTCATGCTAACCAGTGGTGCAGCTAGATAATTTCAAATTCTGAACAGTCTTTTGCATTCTCTATGTCAGCCATATCCATTGCATCAACTATAAAACATGTGTTAAACGTGTTTCTCCTCCCCATCATCATTCTATATGGAGAAATCATTTAAGTAAGGGCAGATGGATAGATGGGTAGATGGATTGATGGATAGGTGGGTGGGTGGATAGATAGATGGATAGATGGATAGATAGGGTGGGTGGGCGGATGGGTGGATGGATGGATGGATGGATGGATAGATGGATAGATGGATAGATGGATAGATGGATAGATGGATAGATGGATAGATAGGGTGGGTGGATAGATGGATGGATGGATGGATGGATGGATGGATGGATGGATGGATGGATGGATGGATGGATGGATGGATAGATGGATAGATGGATAGATGGATAGATGGATAGATGGATAGATAGGGTGGGTGGATAGATGGATGGATGGATGGATGGATGGATGGATGGATGGATGGATGGATGGATGGATGGATAGAATTCGTGTCTGCTGCTCTGATGATTAAAGCATTTGACTACAAAGAAATGTCTTTTGATGGCAGAAATTTGCCAACACCTAGCCAAACGTGGCTGATTTCAAAAAGCTAAGCATGATCAAGTCTAGTTAGAATTTGGATGGTGAATAAGAACTCTAGGGAATCCCAGAGTTACAACCTAGATTGAAAAACTGGGGGGAAAAAAGGCCACCAACTCAAAGAAAACTTTACAACAGAACACACACATTTACCAGAATACAAATAATAAAATAAAGATCTGTAATCATGAACAGCACAGAAAGCTTACATCTAAGGAAAAAAAAATAACAAGGAAGTATAACAAAGAGAATTGCTGGCACACTAAATAAAAGGTAAGTGATGTTCCTACACACTTCAGTATGGATTTTTCAAAATTACTTTTTTACAATTTTCATAGCTTGAATATTGCTCTGTTGTGTTTTTTTTTCTTCCCCCCTTACCTCCCATTATTTGAGGGAATATATTAGCTTAACTTTTCATATAAGGACCTGCAAACCTGAAGTTATTTAAGAAGTTAACTAGTTTTCAACAGGCAACTTTTGATTAATTTTTATACTAATCAATTTATTTCTCATGATGTTCAAGAACTGGTGTGAAGGAAAATGGATATGAGCGGTTGCTTTTAAAGCAACTCATTTGTTTCAATTTCCCTTTCTTAAAAAAAATGACATTTCCTTGATGTTCCAGCTTTTTGGGAAAAAAAAACTTGCAGTCCTTAAAACAATAAAGTTTAAACTATTATATATTAGTGTTCAGTGACCCCAACTCACTTATCATTTCTAAGTAAAATATTAATTGATCTTCATCCAGAAGATATGGAGTTTTTAAAAAAGGAACTTTAGAAAAAGGGGGGAAATCTACCAAATTTATCTAGCTCCAGACAGAAAAGAAAAACAACATCTTTGAAACTGGATCGAAACATACTAAGAAAAACAGCTTTCAAAATACACTTGACATCGTTTTATGCCTTGTTCCATGCTTCAGTCATTGTGGAAAATCTGTTACCTACATGCATAAATATTCCTACAAAGGTAGATTAACAGTAAGGAGTCCCTCAGGTCAGAGAGACTCCAGGGAAATGTCTGTGAAAGTCTCTTGACAATAATACAGGGACAATATTTTGTGATTTTTTATTTTTTTTTTTACTTCCCAGTCTAGCCTACAGCCCTGGGATTTCCCAATAGTTTTCCAATTATATCGTAATCAAATATACTTGTGATAATGTCGGATTATGCCTAGCATTTTTGAACACCCATATCAGCTGCAGACATTTCTGTAAAAAAACGTTTAATCTGAACACAAGACAAAGAATAAAAATCTTCAAAGTTCCATTTCATTTGATATTGCCTGAGACATTAATAGCACAGGTCATTATCCCCCATCCTGTTCATTAAAACAGACTACCTTTGACATTTCCCCCCTACCATCCACCCCCTCAAACCCCACACATTTACCTTTGCATATAGGTGGCGGTTGACTCCATTGCCTGTTCGCCTGACACTGGGCTTTTGTTGGTCCTTGCATAACATAACCAGTATTACAAGAGAATGTCACAACGTCATTGAAGTTGAAACCATTCCCACTTGTTCGTCCATAAATCGGGCTCCCTGGATGACCACAGCTAACAGCTAACATCAGAAGAAGCAAGAGAGAACGAATATTGTTATCATTAGACTGCATAATCAACACTTGACTCTCACTTTCTGAGATATTTTGGAGACTACACAGGTGACCCTGCACAGAAAGGAGAAAGTGTTACATGAGAAAACAACCCCTCAGGCAATGGTGCATAAATATTTTGCTATCAACTTGATTAGAGAAAGTCAGGACTTTTCAGAGGCTTGGGAAGGTTACAGAGGTTTGAATTGTTTAGAGAGGTGGTTTATTTCTAAAAAGAAGCATTGCTGACTTCCAAGGGAGGTATAACAAACTGAAGATATCTGCAAAAGCAGAGATGATGACTGCTGCAAAGACCAAAGAACCGGTGAGTAGATCGGTCCCTTGGAACCTCTCTGGATATGGAGAGGACAGGAGATATGGTCCAGATGGATGCTCCTTGCAAGAAGACCACTGGAGAGGGGTTTTCCATAGGTTTGAGTGCTGGAAGACAAAGGGATTAGCCATCTTGCTCACAACTGCAGCAGAGGTTGTTAAAGGAGACTGAGATCGCAAGGCTCACTTTCTAATCACTTTCAGAAATTTCCTATTAACTGTCATAAAGAACAGTTAGAACAACAGGTTTGAAAAGTCTTCATCGGGTGAGTTTATCTTCAACTCTCAATAAAAGAAAAGCTAATTACAAGCTTAAGAACTTAAAGAATTTGAAATAAACAGCAAAAAGCTAAATAAGATTTTGATCTAAGACAGTTATAAATGGATTAAGGGTTTGGATAAATTTGGAATATTAACTTTTACTATAAGATTTTGGAATTAACTATAAAAATAAACAACTTTTCATGGGAAACAGACTTAATTTGGTTATCCTGCTAATTGCAAGTCATAACAAATGATAAGTAATGCTTTTGGAAACTGAACACTAGAGGAGACTAAAATTTTTAAATAGAAGAAAAAAAAATACAAAGCCTGATGTCGGTTAATACTGGGACTTATAGAATGATGCAAAACATTATAACAACAGAAATATTAAAGGAGATCTTTGAAGAACAGAGCCAGACGTTAGTAACTACAATATCATCACTGTCTATGGATAGACTATGTCTAAAAGATGTTAATGGAGGAATGACAAATGTGGAATGGATTTTATCTGATAAGATAAAGTACAGAATGTGGAACTACAAATGACAGGCCAAGAGAATGATGTGGAAAAGAACGCTTTACTGGATATACAAAAGAAACTGGATGAAGTTTTAAAAATTAAAAGGGAGACACACATGATAAACCAAGAGAATGTTCTTTTATTGAATCTACAAATGAGGCTTCTTAAAGCTTTGAAGAAATCTGTGCAATGGGATAAAGAAAATTGAAGAGAAATCAAATCCTATGACAATATTTGATTGAATTAAAGATTAAGATTGTTAGAAGTGAAAGGATGGAATACAAAGTTGGTTTATTTGTTAAAGCTTAACATAAGACTTTTTTTGCAATGTTCTGGCAACCTTTTACTGACTTTTTTCTGGCACCAAGATTGAAAAGTTGATGTTTTATGGATTTGCTTATAGATAAAGTAT